TTTGTGTGTGTGTGTGTGTGTGTGTGTGTGTGTGTGTGTGTGTGTGTGTGTGTGTGTGTGTGTGTGTGTGTGTGTGTGTGTGTGTGTGTGTTAAACCTACCAGTTCCCATATGCCATCGGGTTCATAAATTGTCCTGGTCTCTTGATCCTGTCTCCACTCTCCTGTTATGTCACTGTAGAAACAAATCAAAGATAAAAAAGAATATTAAAGTGATGATCAGTGACATTTTTGGACCCTGTAGATTTACAGAGATCAGATTGTTCAGAGCGGTGTTTCAGGCTATCAAAGAGAAAAGTATGTTTACAGTATTTACATAAAGATCAGAGCAGTAACAGCAGCTGCAGTGAGGTCAATGAGAAAGAGGAGAGTGACACTAAAACAAGACATACAAATGACCACATAATTATTATTTTGACATAATCAGTAGTGTTGAATACCTCACACAAACTTGGCAATCATTAAGGCTAGTAACTTGCTGACTTTCCTGTCTTTATGCACTGCAATAAAGTTTAGTTTCAGAAAGTAAAAGCTGTCTCGTTGGGTTTAAACATATGTCTGGCTAAAACTAATGTAGCATAGCAGCCATTAGAACATGAAAAAATGCCTCATTATATATGACATAAATTCACACACACAAACAAACACATACTCTAAACTGGGCTGAATAGGGTGCAGCACGACCCGGCTCTTCCTCCTGAAGCACAATGAGGACCTGTTTGGGTCCAGTATGCCCAGTAAACCCAATCCCACTGCCCAAAAAAAGCAGCAGCACACACACACACACACACACACACACACACACACACACACACACACACACACACACACACACACACACACACACACACACACACACACACACACACACACACGCACACGCACACGCACACAGGCCCAGTGTGTCTCCAACTGTTTTTGGACAGAAGGGCATTTAAAGAGCAGAGACAAACAGCAACAGTTGCTAATTGTTGTGTAATAGTTGGAGTAGGAGATGGCAGCATTTAAACAGAAAGCAGTACAGTTATTTCAGAAAGTCACACCATCCAGCTGACATGGTGCCATCCGGCGTGATGCTGTTTTACAGAAAGTTATTTAGACATTAGACAATATATGCAAGGGCTGATCCTCATTTCATATAGACATTCAAACCAAAACGTATGCAACATTCGGGTTCTCTTTCTTGTATTTTAGTATTTAGAGGTGCCCTACACTGATTGCTTTTAAATACTTTTTTCTGTTTAAATGTATTACTGTCAGTAGGAGTTGTAAACATTTTAACGTTAACATCGCATGCTCCCTGATCAACCCATTCACTAAACAGCCCTTAAATATTGGAAGTGTCTACAAAACCTCAGATGTCGAATTTGTGGAGAAAGAATGTTTATTATGTGCGTTTCCAACCATACTTTAAAAGAAAACAGTGACAACGACTGAAATGAAAAGGTTTTGTAGAAGGATTTTAAGCATTGACTTGGCTATTAAAATATGTGTGCTTTGCAAATATATGCTTTTGTAGGAAAAAGGTTTAATTTAGGTCAATATAATATATGGTAATAACAATAATATAGTATTTACATGAGTAAAACATTGGTCTGTGATGTGAAAGAATGAGGTAAAAGGAGATTTCATTTTGTTAACGTAATGCCTTTAGAAAATCAGTTTTGTTGTATAGCTTGTGGGGTATGGCAAGGTTATTTATAACATGTTTTAATGAGTGAGTGTTTGAATTCCCATATGGGTACAGTATGGTAGAAAATTAATAAGGAAAGTGCTACAAGGGTATACAGATATAAATAATTCAGAATATAAGCTACATATTTTTAGAAGTTGTTGGTTTCAGCATCTTTAATAAGTCTGCCTTATCAGCTTGACTTGACTTCCAAAGATAAACATGTCACGCCTAAGCTCTGTTATCGCAACACGTTATCATATCTATATTAACGTCTGCCTCAGTACAGTCACAGTATATTCATATGAACTCCACTGCGAATACAATAACATTAATGTCTGTCCCCATTTGCAAGGCATGCGTCTGAGGCCGGAGCAGAGTGGCAGCGGGCCAGCCCAAAGCAAACAGAGGTGTGTTTCTGATTTGACTGCTCACTCGCTGCTGCTCTGGTACACAGTTCATCCTGAGTGCATGTGTTCACCCGATACATGGAGACTGTAAACTGTAGGACTGACCAAATGTCTTAACGGTGCCACTACGTAGTTGGTTGATTTGACTTAATTTTGTACATTTAGAGCAGGTTATATTTTCCTAAACACTTAACATTTGGCTTAAGTTTACTAAAGTTAGGTTTCTAACTGTATTTTACACTTCGGTTTAGTTCCCCCGATTGTACTTGACACTTTAGGCGCTTTCACACCGGAATACTTTTCCCAGTATAGTTCCGATAGTTCTTTAAATTTTGCGTTCACACCAAAAAAGTCCGGAACTAGGATTTAGTTCATGAGAACCTTTCCACCCCATTTTTAGTGCCTGCTAAAGAGCAGGTACTTTCATGGGAGAAAAAGGTTCCCATTTCTGATTGGCTGGGCGGATTGCAAACCATGCCCCGTAAAACTCTGAAAAGTTTTGTGAAGCCGCCATTGTATTTGCTGGCATTAGCATTATTAGCATTAGCCAAGCGCACCAACGGAGAGAGGCTAACTTATGGCAACACAAAAGAAAACATGGGAGCGGTGGAGATGAGGAGGTGTCGGCATTCTGGCTATTTACTTGGAAGTAAGCTTCTTCCCAGCAGCTTCTACTGAAGCCAGTCCACAACTCCGGGGACTTCCGGCCGGGGGACTTCGGGTGGCAGTATACGCCGTGAAGTTGTTTGCGGCCTGCCAGTAAACCCAAAGCAGAAGAAGAAGAAGTGACGTCAGCGGCTTCATTTGCCTAATCCTCCCTCAGGGATTTATTCCGGTGTGAACGCGATCTGCTCTTTAGTTAATCAGAACTAAATAATTCTGATTAACTAAGTATTGGGAACTAAGTACGGCAAAGTACTTGTCTCCAAAAAGTAACTTTTTTATTCCGAAACAAACTTTCTTATATAATTGGTTCAACATTCCTAAAGGTAATTTACAGTTGGTGTTAGTTCCCTCAACTATTTTACCTTCCAGAATGAATCAGTAAGCAATGTATTGACCAAATAACCCAGATTAAGTCCAGTATATATGAAAAGAGATTAGCTATGAGCAATAGAGCGTACTGATTATACATTTGAGTTGACATGTACGCACATACAGTCCAAGTGTGCTTGAGTTTCACCGACTATACAACACGCATGTATGAATGTATATATTGCATGTGTGTGTATTTACCGACCTTGTGAACGCAAATGCACGTGTTAATTTCTGTGTCTACTTGTGTTAACATGGGTGTGTGTGTTTCAACGGCAGCGGAACCTCAGGCAGGGCCCCCAACAGTGTCCAGTGGGATTGTGGGTAGTTGGGAGAGGGTTTGGATTCTTGCTTTGTTTGTCCCTGTGTGCTGACATCACCGTGCTGATGGCACCAAATCCCCCGTTCTACTGCACACAGCACTTTCTATACAAAAACACCAACACACACACACACACACACACACACACACACACACACACACACACACACACACACACACACACACACACACACACACACACACACACACACACACTAACACATGGTGCTAGTAATGCTAACTTGGCCAAAAAAAAGAGAGCTCTTTCTCTTTTTAACACACATGCAGACATCCATGTATGCATATATGGATGCACCCTCCGCCCCCCACACACACACCTAACACGGGATGCAGTGTGATCATCATATTTTTTGCTATATTTGGCCTCCTGCAGGAACTTGAAATGATAAATGTACTCTTTTAAATACAAATTGTACTTTATCTTTCACCTCTTGATAAAGTTTTATGACCCCCATGACGCTGTTTCTTATCAATGTCAACAACTCACTCAATTAATCACTACATTCAGCTTTGAGGTAAGTTGAGAAAACATTTCCTGTATGGTTTTAATGTAGATACAGTACAACTGACTGGAATGACTATAACGATGGTAACATATACACATTAAACATAGCAACATTTTAAATATTAGGTCAAGCTATAGTTGCTTTTTGAAGTATTTCACCGCCTCTTCAGAACTGCAGTATTTTCAGATACATGTCAGCCATTAAACTGATTGTTGTCCCACACACACACGGTCTATTTGCTCATAAGCTAAGCTATCTGACTCTGTCTTTACATAGCCTGGTTAAACATTAACTGGGAGCCTTTCTCTTCCCTCCAGTGCTGTCTTTGGTATGTATGGAGCTCGGAGGAGGGCGGGAAGAGTCGGGTAATCAGCTTGATGACACTTCCTGTCAAGCTTGGAGGAAATGGGCGGCCATTTTTCTTTAGTAAATTGTTTATTGGTTGCCTTTGTAGGAAATACAATTGTTAAATGAATTGGAGTCAAGATTTCTCTGTGATTGTTGTGTGGAAATGTTATTTTTTGAGAGCATGTTAATCTTCAGCAGGGCTTGGTTACACATTTTCATCATTAATCCATTAGATGAATTAGAGTCGCTACAGCCACTCAGCCTGCATGATGCCCTGTTATTGTTTTGTACTTTATAAGGCTTACAGGGACTCAATATGGTCGCACAGATGTATATCTACATACAGAAACCGTGCCACACACACACAGAAAGAAAAACAGAGACACACAAAAGGCTTGGCAACATACGCACATACACAAACACACAGCCCACTGCTCGTGAGGGCCCGGGGAAACGGTTGGGATGGACCCAGCACTCAGAGCCACTCAAAGCCAATCAAAGCTGATGATAGCTCAGACATTTACACCATCCATCTACTGCCTCTCTCACACACACATGCACACAGGTGATCACCGTCCCTGTTACCACATCAATCACACAGGAGGGAAAGAAGAAAAAAGGAGGGCATCCAGACAGAAAATGG